TTGCAGGTTACACTGGAAAGCCCTTGGTTTGTGGAAGAGGGCTGTCTACACAGAGCCCTAAGGCCTTTCTGTGCTGACCTACGTTCCGGTGATGTCCCTTCTCCAATGCTAGTTGCCGGGTGCTGTCTCCTTGATGCCTCTTCAGTGCGACTCCACGTAGAACCGAGTGACACGCTGCCCCGCCCAGCACCTTGCATTGTCGCTCTGTTGGCGCCCATTGCAGAAGCCACACGTCAGTCCAGTCCGCCTCGCTGGGGATCCCCCTCTGTTTCGCTGGCACTCTGGCCGTGATGTCCTTCCCCAGTAACCGGTTTCTCCCAATGGCATGTTCAACGCTCCTAAGACCAGCCTCGCCACCCTGGCTTCCAAGGGGCGTTCGGGCTGTTCTTGCTCCAAGGCAGGCGCAATCTTCTGGCAGTCCACGATGCCTCCAGTGGCCTTACAGCCAGCCCTGTAACTCAAATGCACTAGGATTTCCCCAGGCTTCCTCCATCACTGCTAAAAGCACCACGCTCGGTTCAGATGGAACTCGGTGGTAGTTCCATCATTCCATGTCAACTTGATAAATAAGTTTAGGGGTGGGGTCTAGCCTGTCAATCAGATCACAACCTGATAATGCCTCCTTGTGGGCATGGCTTCTCAGAAGGATGCTGGGAGCTTCCTCTCTTTCTCCCTGGATGTGGACAACACTCTCTCTCTGCCTTCACTTTCCTGATGTTGAGACACTCAGAGAGCTGGGGGAACCACGTGAAGACCCGCGCCGGCATTGAGATACTTCCACCACCATTGGATCCACAAGACCTTTCACCCACCGGCCTGTGATCTTCCTGCATTTGGCTTCATTGCATGTACTGCACGAGTCTGAAGAGGAAATTATAGACTGATATTGGGCATATGAACTAATATCGGACTGATGGACTTGATCTGGATGGGGCTGGGATGTTTTCTCAATATACAATTGCTCTTTGATATAAATCTCTCTCCTGCACATAGATGCACATCCCTGGGTTTGTTTCTCTAGTCAATCCGGCCTCACGCGGATTTAGTCCTCGGGTGACATCTGTGCTCTGTGACACTTTAAACGGGTCTTGTGCGCACATTTGTCTAATGCAGTACGTAGTCTATTTTTCCATGAGTATTGATTGTGGATCCGAGCAAGATGAAATCCTGTCAACTTCAATGATTTCTCTGTTTGTCACGATGCTGTGTATTGGTCCACTGTGACGGTTTTTATTTACTTACTAGTTTTTGCTTACCAACCTTCAATCCAGAAACATCGCTATGTCTGGTACGTTTGTCCTCAGGAAGTGTAGGTTGTAAGTAGATGACAATGTCTGGGCATGCCCAGGGAGGGACCCTTTGCCCATAGGCTTGCTGGGTGTCGTACCTACATCATCTGTTGTCAACTTGAGACTATTAAGAGTGAAGGGGTGGAATTTAGCTTGTCAATCAGGTCACAGCTTGACAACCTCATTTGGAGGTGCTGAGGTGATAAATAGCTTGCTGGAGGCTGGACACTCACTCACTCCCTGCAAGACATTCCTGTTGACAAGCCACATGGAGCTATGCTGATGGCAGCCAAAGACTTGGAGCTGGAGGAGTCACGTGGAAACCCACGCCAGCCATAAGATGCTTCCACTGCCACTGGATCCACAAGACTTTCCACCCACTGGCCTGTGATCTTCCTGTGTTGCCTGACTCTGAACAGGAATTTACAGACTGGATGTGGACATATGGGCCAATATTGGACTCATGGACTTGATCTGGACCGGGCAGGAATGTTTTCTTAATGTACAATTACTCTTTATATAAAGCTCTTTCCTTTACACATATGAGTGTCAATGAATTTGTTTCTCTAGTCCACCCAGAAGAACACCTTGGGTGAACCAGGGATCTTGGCCACCGCAGAATTAGGTGGCTGCTGACCTCCAACAGGAATTGCCCCCCTCACATCTACTCTCTAGCCTTACGAGTAACTGTTACCTGAGCCCCTCATGGCCTCATTGCCAGGAAATTAGTGATGACCCACAGTGACCCCACTGGGACAGGGTAAATCTATCTCTGTGGGTTTCCTAGGTTGTAACTGCTTATGGGAGCAGAAAGCCTCCTCTTTCTCCCACAGAACAGCTGGTGGTTTTGAACTGCTGACCTTGTGGATCACAGCCCAATGTGTAACCACAATGCCACCAGGTCCTAAGCCTTATTGAAGGAACCAAAAACAAAGACCTCAAGTCCTATCAATCACAATCTCCCTGGGAGCTTACTGCATGCTTGCCCAAGTCTTAGGATCGTTTGAAACACCATTTACAATCTCTGATGGTATTTATAGCTCAACCATTTCTATGGCAACCGGATTTCCCAGACTTCCTGCTGTCACGGGCTCCACTGTCCTTCTGGGCTCCACTGTCCTTCTGGTCCGTCCTTCACCGTCTCCAACAAAGCATCACTTTGCCTCTTGCTGCCTGATACACTTGCTTGAGCTGGTAGGATTGTTCTCTGTTTCTATTTATCGAGAAGGGTCTTTTAATATTAAATAGTACAGCTGACTTCCAATCAGCCAGCTCTGGAAAAGAATAATTAACCTCATAATTACCCCTCTTGCAAACGCCCTCTTAGCATCTCTTAATGATTTACCAAAAATAGATGGATGTTGTCAAGTTTAAGTTAACAGTTGGGCTCTGGTGGCTGCGACTCAGGGTCTCATGGTCATGAATTATCCCCAGGCCCCTACAGAGAAACTCCAGAGCCGACCAGTGACCTTTCAAACCTGTCATTGTGTGCCCACGGTCCTTACCCTGCGTCCACCCAAGTCCTGCCTGGGGCAGCGATGAACCCGCTGCCGCCAACCATGCTCTTGTGATCAGTCCCCTTGCTCTCCCACGTCCATAGGAGGTGCTCCACAAAGATCGTGGCAAAATGGAATGAAAAGATAACGGAGTTTTTTAACACCCATCCTGTGAGCCACATCCCAATGGACATGGGCTGGGCTGCTCACCACAAGGTGGCATTGCAGACCCAGCAGCAGCTCCGTGGGCGGAAGAGGAGGCTATCTGCTCCCATAAAGATACACAGCCTCCGAGTGGGCAGGGGCGGTGTCCTCTGTCCACGGGGCCATGAGTCGGAGGGGCCTGGCCAGCACTGGTTTGGTGGCTTTCAATGCGCCCTGGGCCCCATGTCCACGGCTCATTTGGTCCCCTCTGTGGGCACAGAGGGGCTCCCTCTATAATCACAGGCCAGCAGAGGATAGGTCTGAGCCTGTCCCCTTGTGGTCTCGTTCCTGCTTCTGTGTCCCCTCTGTGACTGTGATGTCGTGATTGGCCGTCAAGCATGCCTGGCCATCTCCTGTTCAGAGTTCGGTGTCTCAGCAAGCCCTCGGACGCCATCACGCCCTCACGCTAACGGCCTCCCTCAGCCAGACGCTGTGTCTTTGTCTTGCCTAAGACTTCAACAAGGCTCTCCTAAAATGATAGTCGTGGTGGGGTCTCTCTTGTCCTCTAAAACAGTTTATATATAACAGTGTCTATAAAAAAGCCGGATGGAACCCGCCCAGCCCCCCCGGGCTGTAACCATAGGTTCAGATCCCGTTTCCTAGAAACCCGATGAATAATACCCCTGGCACACGCATCTTGTGAAACACACACAATCATTCATGGAGGGGAGAACACGTGAGGCACGAATGTTCATGATTTTTAAAGGCGTGGGACATTCCGATAGTCTAAGACAGGCTTTCAGCGGCTAATTGGAATCCTTGTGTTCTCCATGTTCGCCTCTGCTGGGGGAGAGACAAGATCAAGCAGGACCCTTCCCTCGCCTTCAGTGTTCTGTGTAGAGAGCCCAGCGCAGTCCTCTTGGGACCTCCAAGCATCTTCTTCCTTTCTCGTCAATGAGCTGGTGC